GTGAGGGGAGGTAGGTGATTCCCAGGAACAATTAGCTAATTAACATTTCAATGTCATTACTTAGCCAAAGCCAAGTGTCCCAGCCAGGTTGTTTTGTTCATAACACACAGGTTCTGGAATCCCACCTCTGCTCCCACCATGGAGGTTTGTTTGTGTCAGGCTGGCTGCCCCAGCCCCAGCCCCAGCCTCAGCCCAGGCCATGCTGGGTGCTGGGGGCTGTTGGCAGGGCCAGGAGCCCACTCCCATTTTGTATCCACCCCAACCCGTGCCCCCAGCCCTGCCAAAAAGCAGCTGGGCAGCCGACTGAAGTTGCATCTGCCCCAGCACAGGGGGAACCTTTTGTTCCCAGCCAGTCTGAGCAATGCCCAAATCTGGGAGCATTTCCCCGGCTGTGGACTCATCTGCAAATTCGCTGTGGAGCCTGGCTTTGAAGACAGTGCCAGAAGTCCATCATCTTCAGCTGCCAGTGGCCAACTTGAGGAAGAGTTTGTCATCCTTGATGTCATCCTCACTGTCTCCAGCAGCAGCAGCAGCCCCACCTGGTACAGCTTCTCCAGGGGCTCCTTCTCCTTCCCTGGGGGTCAGACCAGGCTGTCAGGGTTCTGCCCAGGGCCCCAGCTGTCAGGGAACCAGGACACGCAAAACCAGCTCGGATGGCAGCCACCAGTGCTGGGCAGAGCAGCTCAGCTCCAGCACAAGGGCTGTGTGTTCCCACCCAAAGACCCCAGTGCATTGATACAGGCAGGGAAAAAAGTCTGGGTTTCCTTGCTTCTGATTGCCAGGGCATGTGTGGAGCTGTAACTCACCAGGGCCCTGCAGCAAAGTGTGCATGTGGCTCTCTCCCTTCTTCTACGGCAGGTGAATATCCTGTATCCAAGGTTCACAGAACAGGTCTTCTAAGGAAGGTCTGTCCAAGAAGTGCCTGGATAAACACCCCCTGATAAGATCTTGGCACTCTGGGCAGAGAAACCAGAAACCAGCGGTCAGCTAGAGAAGGCTCCTGTCTGCTTTGCCCCACTCTTCCCATGCCCAGGCCATGCTGCTTTTGTGCTCCTGGCTGGGCCTAAACTTTCTCATCAATTCTCTGTTGTGGAGGAGAGCAGGAGAGCAGGACGTGTGCCACCTCCTCAGCGGCTGCCAGAGCGAGATGCTCACGAGCTGCTGCTGTCTCCCAGCACTGGTATTCCCCCATGGCCAGAGATGAGGATCCACCTGGAGAGAGCCGCTGTGGCAGCGAGAGCTGATGGTCCCAGCTGATCTTCCGGCCCCTCCTGAAAGGGTGCTGCCCGCAGACCATCTGGTGCAGCAGGATGCCCAGGGACCAGATCGTTGCTGCCTCTCCATAGTACCAGCCCAAGTGGGTCCATTCCGGGGGACTGTATGAAAGTGTTCCTGTGGAATACAGATGGAGTTCATCGGGGGAATGCTGCTGCTGCTTCCAGAGCCTGGCCCCAGCATCCCTGGGCGTGCAGGGGCTGCCCCAGTGGCACACGGGGCGACTGCTGCACTCTCGCCAGCACCTGGGACTTGTGTACAAACTCAGGGCTGGACAAGAAGCCACTGGTGATGGAAGAGGGCAGCAGAAGCCCCAGCAAGGCCTGACCATGACATGTAAAGCAAAAACCCACTCAGGGCTGGGGGAAAAAACATGTCCTTATCCTCCCTGCCTGCAGTGCCCCAAAAATATTATGAAGCCAAGACAAACAAGGTGATTGGAGCCGCCCAAGCCCTTCCTCTCACCTGCACACCAAACTGGCTGGTGCACTGGTCCTGGCCAGATGTAGTAGATAGGGACAGGCGAACGGAAGATCCCGGGATGTGACGGAAAGAAAGACCCTTCCCCCTTCACCCTGCAACACATTATCTACCACCCCCAGAACATGTAACCACACCTAACCCAGTAGTTTTCCACTCCTGACTAACCCTAGAGGCCCTACCAACCCCCCCTGACGTAGCAAAGTCCCCCAAGACTATTTAAACCCATGAGATAAGATAATAAACGCTTTCGACCATCCACCACATGGGTGTCAGCGTGTGTCGTTAGCCCGAGTAGCCCGGACTAGGCCGGGCTGCCGTGCTGCTCCTTGCAACCAGGTCGCCGTTGCCTCCCCTGAAGGCAACAGGTCCTGGAGGTATTTGGTGTTATTTATGCAAATGAGATTCAAATTAGGGCTGCAGACAGGGTCTCTGGGGGGGCTTCAGGGAAGTTTGGGAGGAAAAGGATGGGTTCATATGCAAATGAGATGCTTATAGGGGGCTGTAGATGGTCTCTGCAGGGGTCCTGGGGAGATTTGGGGGGTGTCTATGTAAATGAGGTCTGTGGGAGAGTTCTCTGTGAGGGGTCCTTATGCAAATGAGATGCTAATGAAGGGATTGGTCAGGGTGGGGCTGGGGCCGATGGGGCCCGTATGAGCCAGAACCGGGACCTGTGGGACCGGGATGGGATGGGATGGGATGGGATGGGATGGGATGGGATGGGATGGGATGGGATGGGATGGGATGGGATGGGATGGGATGGGATGGGATGGGATGGGATGGGATGGGATGGGACGGGACGGGATGGGACAGGATGGCAAGGCATGGCATGGCATGGGATCTGCAGGACTGGGATCTGCTGGGTTTGGGGTGTCCGGAACCGGGATCTGCTGGGTTTGGGGTGTCTGGAACTGGCATCTCCATCATCCACTGGAACTGGGATCAGCCGGGTTTAGGGTTTCCTGAGTCAGGGATCCACTGGGGCTGGGATCTGCTGGAGCCGGGACCTGCTGGGACGGGATCAGAAAGGTTTGGGGGTTCTGGAACTGGGATCTGCTGGGATCTGGGATCTGCCGGGGCTGGGATCTGCTGGGTCAGGGATCCGCTTGATCTGGGATCCACTGGATCTGGGATCTGCTGGGTTTGGGGCTTTCAGGTCAGGGATCTGCTGGGATTTGGATCCACTGGGGCTGGGATCTGCTGGACTGGGGGTCTGTGGATGCAGGGATGATCCCCAGATGAGATCCCTGGGATCTGCTGGGGTCGGGATCTGTTCTTTGATCTACGATCTCCTGTGGCTGGAGCATCTGATGTCTCCTGGAGCTGGGATCCACTGGACTTGGAGCAGTCACTCAGTGGGGATTTAGTGGGAATGAGATCTGCTGGGTTTGGGATCTGCTAGGAATTGGATCTACCGGGAATGGGATCTGCTGCGAATGGGATTTGCTGGCCCTGGGATCTGCCGGGGCCTGGATCTGCAGGACTGAGACCCACTGAATCTGGGATCTCCAGGTGCTGGGATGAGCTGGAAGGGGAATCGCTGGGATCTGAGATCTGCAGCTCTGGGACCCACCAGAACTGGGATCTACTGCAGTCAGGAAATGAGGCTCTGGGATCTGCTAGACTCAGGATCCACTGGATCCAGGATCAAAAGGTGCCAGGACAGGCTGGAAAGGGAATCTCCAGAATCTGGCAGAGCTAGGATCTGATAGAACCAGCAGCTCTTCCCTGGGAACATCCCTTGGATGGAATGTGGGAGGTGGAATCACAGTTTGGACCCAGAAGAACCGTTCCTGTCCATGGGAAGGACAGCACGGAGCCCCTTGGATATTTGGGATTTTGGAGGCCAAATCCCAGTTTTGGCCGTGGACACCTTGTGGAGAAGGGCGGATTTTTCCTCATGAAAGAAAAGCACCAAATCTAAGAGTTTGGGAAGAAGATCAGAGGTGGCCATTGTAGGAGAGGACAGCCAGAGCTGTCCCTCATGGCAGCTTCTGGCTCGGAAGAGCCCTTGGATATTCGGAATTTTGGAGGTAGATTCTCAGTGTTGTCCATGGGCACCTGGACATGAAAGGGGTTTAACTCCACATGCAGTTCTGCAGCCAATCACAAACCCCCCAAATTTTCACAGCCAATCACAAAACCCCCAGATTTTCACAGCCAATCACAGAAACCTCAAATTTTTGCACCCACCCCATCAAATCCTCACATAAATCCCAAACATTTGCAGCCACCCCATCAACCTGCCCAGAGGGAGGAGCCAAGAATTTCTACCTGGATATAATCTCGGGTTTCTGGAAGAACACCAGAACAGCCTTTTCACTGGATTCCCAGAGGAACAGCTGGGGTTTTCCACTGCCTCTTCAGAGGAAGACTACACCCTTCTACAGGATCACTGCTCCAACAGAACCACAGCTGACACTGCAGGAGGACTGCAGCCACCATTCCAATTAGACTGCTACCAATGCCCTGACCAAAAGGGTGTCAGGTCATATTCTGACTCTGCCAGTGTTGTTTTGCATTACTGCATTGTTTATTTTCTCTTTTTATTTTTTCCCCTAATAAAGAGCTGTTATTCCTGCTTCCATACCTTTGCCTGAAAACCCCGCATCATTTCAAATTTACAACAATTCAGAGGGAGGGGGTTTACAGTTTCCAGTTCAGCGGAGGCTCCTGCCTTCCTTAGCAGACACCTGTCTTCCCAAACCCAGACAGTTGCCATGGCAACCTCTGGCATCCCATTCCCAGGGTCATGGGATCCCAGAAACACAGAATTGGCTGAGCTGGGAGGGACCCATCGGGATCCTCGAGTCCAACTGCTGGCCCTGCACAGGACACCCCAACACTGCCAGCCTGGGCCTGGCAGCGCTGTCCAAACGCTGCTGGAGCTCAGAGAGCCCTGGAGCTGTGACCCTTCCCTGGGGAGCCTGGGCAGTGCCCCAGCAGCCTCTGGGCAAAAACCTTTCCCCGAGATCCAACCTCAGCCTGCCCCGACTCAGCTGCAGCCGCTCCCTGCACTCCTGTCCCTGGGCACCAGAGTGAAGAGGTTCCCTCAGCCCCAGCCAGGGACCCGCTCCCAAGGCTGCTGCCATGGCCACCAGGGCTGGCACCAGCTGCGATGCTCGGTTTCCATGGGCCGGGCTTCAGGAATGGGATTCCCCAATTTCCTGCTCCCGCTAAAACCGCGCTGCCGCTCGCTGCCCTCCTGCCTCCCATGGAAAGCACAAAAGGCAAAGATCCTGGGCTGGGATAAGAACAATTTACTGGGAACAGCAACGAGATAAAGAACAAACAGGAACAGAAACAATACTGACAACAGAAGGGATAAGAAAAACTATTTACAGGGAAAATTTCAACATCAGTGACTGTCCCTTCCCGGCCATGTATTTCCTCCTGCTGGGGAAGGACACCCTTCTCCTAAGGGGGAGAGAGAGAGAGAGAGAGGGTCCCTTTCCTGTCCCTGGCAATGACCTGAGATAGTTGTGAATGTAATGACAGGGCCATGGCCAGACCCTCATGTTCTTCAATCCCACATCAGGTCATTGGCAGGGGCAGGAGAAGGTACAGGTGTCTTCCCAGCATGGATCACAGGGAACAGGGATCACCAGGGCTCTTCCCAATGTGGGTTCTTCAATGGGGGATGAAGCTGGAGCGGTGCACAAAGCTCCTCCGGCAGTTGGGGCACTCGCAGGGCTTCCCTCACTGGTGGCTCCGTTGGTGTTTGGTCAAGGCAGAGCTCCGGGTAAAGCTCTTCCCACACTGGGGACACTTGTAGGGCCTCTCCCCAGTGTGGATGCGCCGGTGGGTGGCGAGGCTGAAGTTGCGGTTGAAACCCTTCCCGCAGTCAGGGCAGCGGAAGGGCCTCTCCTCAGTGTGGATCCGCTCGTGCAGGAGGAGATTGGAGCTGGTGTGAAACCTCTTCCCACACTGGGGACACTCGTAGGGCCTCTCCCCAGTGTGGATGCGCTGGTGGATGACAAGTTTGGAGCTGCAGCTGAAGCCCTTCCCACACTCCCCACACTCGTAGGGCCATTCCCCAGTGTGGATCATCTGGTGGCAGATCAGGGTGTTGCTCCGCCTGAAGCTCTTCCCACACTCCAAGCACTTGTAGGGCTTCTCCCCATGGTGAACCTGCTCATGGACTTCCAGCTCTGAGCTCTGGCTGGAGCTCTGTCCACCTTCCTGGCACAGGGTGGGTCTTTTCTCCTCGGAGCACCCTGGGCTGGGTTTGCAGCCCCTCCTCCTGTGGGATCTCCAGGGCTTTTCCTCCCCGTTGGATTCCTGTGCCCTGGAGTTGCTCAAAATGGTCTCTTCCATGAGGTTCTGCCGTGGGGATTTGTCCTCCCTGCTCTCCATCCTCAGCTCCTTGTCTGGGAAGGACGGACAAGGAGAGGATGGGATTTGCCTTCGTGCCAGAGGGAAGGGGAAGGAGGACGGTGTCATCAGGGGGTTGTCCTGCAGCCGGGGGCCGTGCTGGGCTGGGAGATGGAGCAGGAGAGAGGGGGAAAGGGGCACTGACTACCTCCTCACCTGCCTGGGTGACCCGGGGAATCTTCCTCTTTCTTGTAGCCTCCCTCTCCATCCAGCCAAGCTTTGGGAATAAGAAGTCCTGGATTGGGGAAAACAATGTATGGGCACATTGGGTCAGGGGAGTCCTACTGCCCAAGTCCATCTCTAAAAGTCACCGGTCATCTGGTAACCATTAAAGCCTCGAAAACAGCAAGATTTAGACCCCCAAAATATATTAAAAACCAAGATTCAGCAAAACCCAAACCCTGAGTTTCCCCTTTCTGGCCTCTCCACTTTGGGCTCCTGGAGACCCCCACCCTGTCTGGGTTGCTGCGGGTCAAGTTTGCATTGGTGCTCCCCCTCTCTGGGCTGCTGGGGCTCCTGGCAATGCCACAGGTTCCCCTTCTCTGGGCTCACCACTTTGGCATCACAGGCGTCCCAGGGGTCAGCACTGTCCGGGGTCCCTGTTTCAGGCTCCCGGGGTATCCATGGGTGCCCCCTGTCCATGCTCCCAACACCTCCAGGCTTCTGGAACAGCCCAGCTCTCGTATTGCCCGTCTGTGCTCCCCCCATTGCCGGTTTCCCTGCCAGCCCTGCCGGTAGCGAGCGATCCCCACGCGGCTCCGGGCTGACAGCGCAGCCCCTGGGCCGGGCAGAGCCAGCCCCAGCACGGGGGGACCCTGCACCCTCCGCTCCCTGGGCAGCCGCGCCCAGCCCCGGGCACAGAGCTCCGGCAGCCCCCGCCGCCCCCTGCCCGGGGACCCTCGGGGACCCCCGCAGCCGGGGCTGCCTCTGAGCGGCCGCCCGGGGCTCGGCCCCGAGCACAGAGCTCTGCCCGGGGGCTCCCGGCCCCAGCGCCGGCTGCGGGCCCGGCCGGCCGCTCCCGGCTCGCACAGCCCGCCCGGGGCCGCCAACAAAACATCGCAACCACAAATCCACAAACCAACCCTGCCCCGCTGTGCTCCTGCGCCTTCCCAGGGACCCCAACCCCGCGGCAATGGCCCCGCACCGGGACAAAAAGCTGCTCCAGCCCAGCCCTCGGCACCCCCGCCTGCGGCTCGTCCCTGGCACACAGATCCCGGCAGCTGTCCCATTGCCGCAGCTGCGGCTCTGGAGCAGGGAGGCTCTGCGGGACCCCCGGGCTGTGCCCCCTCCCAGCCCTGCCCGCCCCGCACCTGCAGCCGGGGCTCTCTCGCTGCTCCCGCTCCTGCACAGCCCCGCTCTCCTTTCCTTGTCCCCCTAGGCTCTCCTCTGGGGCTCAGGCAACACCCGGCAATGGAAAGGAATCCATTTTGGTGCTCCCTAGCCAGGCCACAACTGAAACTTTGTTCCTTTTGCCTCGCTGCACAGGCCCCCAGGGCGTTTTCTGCACCCAGTCCCAGCCCCCAGCGCTTCTGAAGCCGCTCCCTGCAAATGTCCTGGAGCTGCCAGGGCCCTGTCCTTGCTGTCACCTGCTGGGGCTGGCCAGGAACAGAGCTCCTGGGCTTGCATGTCCAGCTGCTGGGCAGCCAGAACTGAGGCATCTGCAGCGGACTGAATGCCAAAACTGGAAGATGAGCCTCTCTCCTGGGGAAATCTTCCCCTCCTGGGCCAGCCCGAGGCAATGCTGCCATTCCCTCCTGCTGCTGCTGCTGCTGCTGCTGCTGCTGCTGCTGGGGCACTCGGGGCTCTGGCTGAGCAGCAAAGGTGACCCTGAGCCAGGAGCTTTCCTTGGCTGCAGCAAAGCCTCGGCACGCAAAGCCCTTCCCGGCGCTGTGCCCTGTGCCAGGAGGGATTTTGCCAGCAGAGCTGACCCCAAATTTCTTCTCCCAGGCAGCTTTAGGACACGCGACATGGAGCAGCCAGAGCCCACTCTCAGCTGTGCGCTGTCCTCCAGAAGAATCCTGTGTGTGAAGCAGCCTGGGAACAGGGTTCAGTGTCAGAGAAGGGGAACTCAGAGCCCTTTTCTTCCCTCTGGCCTGAGGCTCTGCATTGCCAATGGCCCTGCAGCTGCCAAAGGGGCCTTTTTGGCTCAGCTGAGAACAGTTCTGCTGAGAGCCTGTCCTAAACCTGCTTTTCCTGCAAATGTGCCCAATTAATCCTCATTTCTTGCAGCCCCAGGTCTTGTGTGAGTGCCGATGTTACAAGTGAAGGATGGAACAACTCTGCTGGTTGGGAGTTCTCTTTCTCTTGTTTTGATATTTTGTTTGTTTGGTTTTTTGTTCCGTATTTTGTTTTGGTTTGATTGGGTTTTTTTTGGTGAGTTTTTTTTTTCTGGTTTGTTTGTTTGGAGTTTTATTGGGAGGTGGTTTTTTTTAATTTTAATATGGTTTTGTTTGCGGGGTTTTTTTGGTTTTTTTTATCAATTCCCCCTGTCACCTCTGGGCAGAGCTCTGTAACTGTGTCTGACACTTGTCTGTCACCTCTGGGGTGTCACAGACAGGGAACGCTGGGGCTGTCACCGCTGGGGTGTCACAGACAGGGGAACACTGGGGCTGTCACCGCTGGGGTGTCACAGACAGGGAACGCTGGGGCTGTCACCGCTCCTGCCCTGTCCCCAACAGCTCTGCCAGCGCCTCGAGGGGACACAAAGGCTGAGCCAAAGGGTGAGAATTGCAGAAGGGGCTGAGCTGGGAGGGACCCATTGGGATCATCGAGTCACAGAATCACAGAATCACAGAATTGCTGGGTTGAAGAGACCTTCAAGATCATCGAGTCGAACCCATGCCCTAACACCAGCTCAATTAAACCACAGCACCGAGTGCCACATCCAATCTTTTTTTGAACACATCCAGGGAAGGTGACTCTACCACCTCCCCAGGCAAACCAATCCAATACTTTATCAGCCTTTCTGTAAAAAACTTTTTCCTACTATTCAACCTGTATTTCCCTTGGTGCAGCTGAAGACTGTGTCCTCTGGTTCTGTCAGTTGTTGCCTGGAGAAAGAGACCGACCCCCAGCTGACCACAGCCACCTTTCAGGAAATTGCAGAGGGTGATAAGGTCACCTCTGAGTCTCCTTTTCTCCAGGCTAAACAACCCCAGCTCCCTCAGTCATTCCTCACAGGACTCGTGTTCCCAGCCCCTCACCAGCCTTGTTGCCCTTCTCTGGACGCCCTCAAGCGTCTCCATGTCCTTCCCACACGGAGGGGCCAGAACTGGACACAGCACTCGAGGTGCGGCCTCACCAGTGCCAAGTACAAGGGGAGAATGACCTCCCTGCTCCTGCTGGCCACCCTGTTCCTGACACAGGCCAGGAGCCATTGGCCTCCTTGGCCACCAGGGCACATTGCTGGCTCATGTTCAGCCGCTGTTGGCCAGGAGCCCCAGATCCCTCTCTGCCTGGGCACGGACCAGCACACCGTCCCCAGCCTATAGCATTGCAGGGGCTTATTGTGGCCAAAATGCAGGACTTGGCACTTGGACTTGTTAAACTTCAACTTACTGGACTCTGCCCATCCCTCCAACTGCTCCAGGTCTCCCTGCAGAGCCCTCCTACCTTCCAACAGATGGACACACGCTCCCAGCTTAGTGTCAGCTGCAGATTTCCTAATGAAGGACTCAATCCCCTCCTCCATGTGGTCAATAAAAACATGGAACAGAGCTGGCCCAGCACAGAGCCCTGAGGGACCCCACTGGTGCCTGTCCCCAGCTGGATGCAGCACCACTCACCACCACTCTCTGGGCCCGTCCGTCCAGCCAGATCTGGAGCCAGCAAAGACTGCTCCTGTCCCAGCCGTGGGCTGCAGCTTTTCCAGGAGTGTGCTGTGGGAGGCAGTGCCAAACTCCTGGTGCTGGCTGCAGGAGATGCCCAGCACAGGCTGCCTCTGTCCGCTCAGTGCCAGCCTGTCTCCCCAGGCCAGCACAGCAGCCCTGGGCAGGGCACAGAGGGGCCTGGCCAGAGCTGGTGCCTGCAGCAGCAGCTGCCTCTGCATTCCTCCCAGCAGGCACAGAAACGGCTGCTGCTGTGTGCTTTTATAGGATTTCACTGTGTTTTAGTACATGAGTTAGGAGTTTAATGCTAGCAAGTTTCGGTTGGTATTGTTCCTTGTGCCCCCCATTCCTTCCCCTCACAATGGTTTCTCCCAGGTTGTTCACTCCTGAGCTTTCCCGCCACTCAGCTGTCCCTCAGAGTGCCAATCTCCCTGTTCCTCCCCTCTTACCCTTAAATAGATGTGTCAATCCAGGTTGTGCTGCCCACCTCCCTGTCTGTCATCGCAGCCACCCCCATTTGGTTCTGGAAGGTTCCCTGTCAGTCACCCATGTTCTTATAGTTGGTTGGTCCCCGAGGCTTCTCCCCTCCCCTGTCTTTTCCCCACTGGTTGTAAATCCAAGATGTAATTCTCCTGTAATCTGTCTCCACTGGTATCCCATGTTGCCGCCCCATGGTCCTGCCCTTGGCATTGCCCATCCCCACATGCCAGTGCCCATCCCGGGAAGAGCCCTGAGCAATGAGGGAGGGACAGGATCTGCCTTGCCAGGGGCTGGGGCTCAGGCCTGGGCCCTTTGCATTCCTGAAACACATCCCCACCATTTCCCTCATCCCAGCGCTGGCACTCAGAGCAGCTGAGGAATGGAGTCACACCCAGGGGTGTCCCCAGGGCTCAGCACTGGGGCCAGGTCAGTGAAATCTCTTTATTGCTGGTCTGGACGAGGCCATCGAGGGCACCCTCAGGCAGTTCCAGGTGAGCCCAGGCTGGGTGGGAGTGTGGCTGTGCTGGAGGGCAGGAAGCTCTGCAGAGGGATCTGGACAGGCTGGAGCCATGGGCCCAGGACAATGGGATGAGGTTCACCAAGGCCAAGGGCCGGGTCCTGCCCTGGGCTCACAGCCACCCCAAATCCCTGGCTGTGCCCTGCCCCTGATCCCCACAGCCTGTCCTGTTTCCTTCATCCCTGCATTGCCAGGGACTTTCTGGGACAAGGGAGCTCTGCTCTGGCTATGGAGGGAGCTCCAAGTGCCACCACTGGAGTGGGAACCACAACTCATCAGGTTTGTGTCCTTTGGGGGTCAGGAACTGGTGAGACTCAGAGGCACAGAAAGTTTCTCTTCATGGCCAACAGACCATAATTGAACAGGAAACAATTTAATAACAATCACACTCTTCCCTGAGCTACGTGCAACATCCCAGCAGCATCTGATGAGTCCACCATCCACAAGTGATTTCCATGCTAGAATGAATTTCAGGCAAACGTGGTTCTGTGATAGATATAGGCACAATTAAGTTCTTGTATCAGGATGCTCATCCTGGAGTGGGGCAAAAGAGCTCAAACAATTCCTGATTTTCAAAGCTCTCAGTGGTGGATGGAGAAGGGAGGTCAGGCTGCTTTTGGTGTTGAGGAAATGCTGAAACCAGCCTGACTCATTTCATCTCCTCCTGGCCTGGCTGATCTCCCCTCTTTCCCCTTCCACCCATTGGCTTTTCTCTCCCACCAGGTGCCCCGGTGAAGAGCCTGGCTCTGTGTTCTCCATCCCCTCCTCGCTGGCACTGCCAGGCTGCGATGAGGAGCCCCTCAGCCTTCCCTGCTCCGGGCTGGACAAGCCCAGCTCCCTCAGCCTCTGCTCACAGCCCAAGGGCTCCAGCCCCACCTTGGAGGCCCTTCCCTAACCCTGCTCCAGCTCCCAGACATCTTTCCTGCCCTGGGGAACCCAGCCCAGGCCACAGGGACCTGGATAATCCATGTCCTTGATGTCCTGGTCACACAGCCCTGGCCCCTTGTCCCCATGTCAGGCTCTGGGGTGGATCCTGTGGAACATCCTTTGGTGGAGGCTGTGGCTCCAGGTGGACCAGGGGGATGCCGGGGGACAGGGACCCTGCTGGGCATGAACAGCATTGGACTTGTTGGGAGAAACTGTGAGGGGGAGCTGGGGTGGAGTGACCAACCCAGTGACCTCACAGAGCCCTCCTGGGATGTCACACAGCCCCTCTGAGATGTCACAGCCCATTCTGTAGTGTCACACAGCTGGTCTCTGATGTCACAGACAATTCTGTGATGTCACAGCCTGCTCTGAGATGTCACAGCCCATTCTGTAATGTCACACAGCTGGTCTCTGATGTCACAGACAATTCTGTGATGTCACAGCCTGCTCTGAGATGTCACAGCCCATTCTCTAGTGTCACACAGCTGGTCTCTGATGTCATAGTCTGCCCATTGATGTCACAGCCAGCTCTGATGTTACAGGGACAGTCTAG